TGATACGTGGAGTTCAGAACAATCAGCTTGTGAGCATTTGAAGGACCTGACGATTCGCTCCGTGTGACTCGTCACAGTATCCAACCAGCCGCTGTGTTTTTTCCACAGTTAGGATTCTGAAAGCCTGCGGCCCTGACAACCCGTGATGACTTCATTTAAGAGGAAAAGCTAAGATGGTTGCTGGCCTCGGTCAGCGAGGGAGTGCCCAGGAATGTTTCCCGGCTGTGGCAAATATTTGGCCTTCCAGAGATGTGAGAGGGCAACAGAGGAAAGAAACTCCTCTCGCCACTCTGCTGTGGAAACGGAGCAGATTCCTGAGCCTGACGTGCGCGGCGCTGTGTGGACTGTGGTGTGTGAGTGTGTTTGTGCAGCTCCATGTGTGTGTGAGGCGTGGACAGCACAGCACATGGAGGCTCACTTTGAACATCAGTATTTCCACTCAGTCACTAAGCTGTGTGAAAAACACTCCGGTGCTCCTTCTGAAGCTTACAGAGGTGTGCTGAGCCGACACACTGACGCTTCATCTGTGGGTCCCTGTGGGTGATCGAAGAAGAATATCTGAAGCTGCTCCAGATACAAACAAAAGTGATGCACAGACACGGCCCAGGATGCAAGAGAAACACAAAACATCACAACCAATAGAAACTCTGACTTCATCGCCCGTCTGTGGCTGAGCGTGGGGATGTGGCTCCAACGTTAAATCCACACTTTCACCTTCAGCTCTCTTCCACAACCTCCTGCTTCTTCCTTCTCTCACCTGTGAATAAAACCCTGACATACTTCAACTCCACTAGCAAACCCACTCAGTGGGCACTCCACTGAGGACCACAGCCTCACACGTGCTAACGCAGTACTCGGTTGTGAACCGCCCACTGTGACCAAGAGGTCATCAGTCAACAGAAACAAGTCGACTTACTGCAAATCAAACTAAGGACACCACACACTGCAGACAGCAGACGCTGTGACATCACCGTTACTGTCAACTCTTCTGGGGATGATGCTCGTGCACAACACCTAAAGTAACTGAACATCATGATGTGTTCAGACATGCTGGGAAACAACGTGTTTCTGTCACGTATCCTGTGGCCTGCTGAACAAACTCTCCGTGTACGAATCGCGCAGCTTTCACAGATCATGACGCGACGGAAAAGCCAGAAGTGCCAACATGTAAGAAACATTCATTCATTGATGGACGAGGACCAACAGATGTTTCCTCCATAAGTGCAGATAATCATCATCTGTGACATCATACCTTCGCTATAACAGGTCACATGAGCCACACACACACACACACACACACACACACACACGATTAGATTATGGGGATGACATAATATTGGAGGCTGCCAGTGCTGCCTCTCAGCTATGGTATGAATTTGAAAATCCTCAGTGGTTTTCAGAGAAGTTGACCTTTGACCTCTTTAGGTCGTGGGGATTCAAAGTTGTCCCGTCA